CAATAGCTTCTCCAACAAAACCCTTCCTCTTGTCAGGTGAATTGTGGGGAATATTTGGCAGTAGGGCAGCATCATAAAGTGTCTATAAATCATAGGAGACAATGTCCTGTAGGAAGAAGGAAGAGCAGGCAAGAATGTAGAGATAAAAATAATTTGAAAAGTCACAACTAACTAAAATTGTGACTCATGCTGGGAAAATTCTCTCTATGAAAAACGTTATCTACAAAGAGTTGCCCATTTCCTACGGAAATATTGAAAAATCAACTATTTTAAGCCCTGACATCTTGGAAAATAGGATGGGGGGAGGCTGTGGAAAAATTAATCCCTTTTGACCTTCTACATCATGAAAGGTTGCAAATGTTGGCTCAGGACCTAGGTTATACACCAGAATCCTTTCACCCTCTCTTCTCCCTGAAAATCACTTTTTAACAACATGCACATATTTGTGTCCAGAAAGTAGCCCTGTGCCACCGCAGGGGCTGATATTTAAAAGTCTAAATCAACTAAGGTCAAGGATGGATACCTTGGTGCAGAAGCCTCTAATTACCAATACCCAGGTGGCAAGATTTGTCTTTGCTTTGTCTTTTGAAAGCTAGTTCCTTGCCAGAGAGAGACCTTCTATATATGCACGACATAGGGTGAGGGGCAGTTTTTTATTGCTTAAAATCTATTTTTTTCTTAAGTTCTATAAAAAGCTCCCTCTGGTTCTTTGGAAGATCACTTGAGATGGAAAGGTCATCCATAATGGGTAGCTGGCTATAAATGCAGATGAACAGTACACTACTTAGTTATTTTCAGCAACTTTTGCAAACATGCACAGTGTTGACCTAATAGCACCCCCATTTTACTCTGTAAAAGCCCAGGCTTTTGTAGTGCCACAAAGCTCAAATGTCTTGGGCACCAGAGGGACCAGCAGTCTGGTAACACTCCACCTAAGACCCCATCAGTTTTGCAAACAGGGCATGGTTTGAAAGGCAAAGGAGGAGGAACTGCTCTGAAGCAGTGGGTCTCCTTCCCAGGTCGATGCAAATTTCCCTTCCTATCTCAGTTTGTAGAAAGAAAGAGGCTGATGGCACAACCATGACTGCAGCATCTTACTGCTTCTTGGATGGAGCACAACGATCTTTGTGACTGGCATTGTCTGACACAATGTAAAATAAAAGTCTGCAATGATTTTAGATCAATATAAACTTCAATCAGGAACAACGATGCCAAACATCATCTAATTCAAGCATTGCTAGGAAAGCAAATTTATAGCCTGGCTTTATCTGTAAAATGCATTGTGCTTTCAAGAACACATAGTCCTAACAAAACAAAGATAATAGCAACTCTGTGTTCTTTAATTCAATGCTTGTAGCTGGTTTAATAATAAATTTTCAATCCACTTCTCTTTTTTTGCTGAGAAAACTACAGACTGATTTAGTGAATCTCTTTGATTTGTAATCCTGATTGTTATATTATTAATATGCCCTTGATGCAAAGACTGGGATAACTTACAAAAGCCATCAGCTATTTTGCTTGGCATTGATGACCTTGGTCAGAGGGCTCATTATTTATGGGAAGAGTTTTCTGGAGCATCTGCAAGTAAATCAGCTCTGAAATGTAGTGTAATTGTTTAGGGCAAAGCACATTTAGTTTCAAATTCCCAGGAACCACCAGCTTCAGACACAAAGTGCATTTCCAGAGACAGATGCTGGCATGTGGAAATGCCACCATGACCACTATTCAGCTGACCTTTGGTTTAGGACCAGCTGCCAACGGGAAATGCCAAGCTACATTCATTCAAAAGAAGCAAGAAAACTGCAGAAATTCTCAAAACAAAACAACAAAAAAACCCTACACACACAGAAAAGGAAAAAAAAAAATTAAAAAAAAAATGAGGAGGAAGTGTGGAAACTTCTGTCTCCAGAGACCTAGTAAAAACCAAAAAGCCTGCAGAGGCCAGCAAACCCCTGGGTCCTATGGTTGGGAAAAGCTGCTGAGAGCAGGAGGACATTTCCTTCACACTGCAAAACTGCTTTCAAACCCCTGCTTGCCTCAGCCAGACACTTGGGAGGATAGGAGCAAAGAGGTGCTATACACCATCCTAGGGAGGAGTATCCTAATTCTGGGGTGCCCAGAGCCTCTCAGGGAGCCTGGAAGCAGCACAGAGCCAGCAACGAGGATCCTGTTTGCAGGAGCTGGCCAGGCTACATCCTCAGTTCTGCAGAGCAAGAGGGTTTTTCTCCTGAGCTCTGCAGCTGGGCAGTACCTGCTCTTCCTCATTAGCAGGAGAGACAGAGCTTGGGCTTTGCACAGCTTGCTTGGTGCGGAAAACAGTAGTGATTCCAGTTGGAGCCACTCCTGGAGTTCAAAATATCTGTTTTTCTAAAAGCAAGTACGGGAAAGAATTAGGAAAGGAAATTTAATTCCCTGGAACCAGGCACTGGAACAACATAATAACTCCAAAGATACAAGAAAGCATCTTCCACAAACAGGTTAACAGCTTCAGAAAGGGATTATCTCATGACTTGGAATGCGTTTATCGTCCCCACAGTGTCACAGCAGGAGAGTTACTCCACAAATTGTCTTGAAATCATATCCAAGGCAAAGCAGCATGAATGACACATTTCAGTGGCATCTCCACTTCCAAACAGGAGCAATTTTTTTGTTTTGCTTTGTTTAATTTCAAATTGGCTGTCAGCTTTCTGGGCTTTGGGAGTTTATTTTTCTGTTCTCATAAGTCACTCAATGCATTAGACAGGCTTTAAAATTCATGGGAACTCAAAATGGCCAAGAGGCTCTGTGGTTTTGAAGCCAATTCTCTAATGATGGGCAAAAATCTTGGTGGTGGAGGCTTCTCCACCACCTCCAGCTGAGGGATTGGGCTCTTCCCAGTTTAGCAGAAGGGCTGAAAAGATAAAAATGGACCAAGAGCTCAGCTCTCTGTGCCTGCCCCCTCCCATATGTCCAGCATGACACCATGGAGAAGCTCCCAGGAATCTGCCACTGCCCTGGGGTGCCTAGATAGAGGTGTGAGTACCAGGTAGGAGGATTAAGGCAGCAGTAGAGGCAGTGATAAAACGATAGCCAAAAGAGACAAGGGCTTTTATAAACATGCCAAGAGATAAAAAGCCAAGAGGAAGCACATCCTGGAAAGCCCATTAAGGCAAAGGACAGAAAGACGTAACTAATAACAATTGCTGACAAATGGCTCAGGCTTTGCAACTGCTTGCTCGGACCAGAGAAGTTAGCAGCAAAAAAGAGATCTGCAAGGGCATGTCCATCCCAAAGTGGTCCTGAGCACTTGCCAGAGACTGTGGGAAGCTGCTGGTTGCCACACGGCGGCAATTCCTTATGATTACAGAGGGCTACATGTCCTTCCACTTGTGATTCACCCCTCCAGACTCTTCACTGCAGAGGTGCCAGGGTATATCCATAGCTTCCTTATGGCCACACATTAATCCTCCTGTTTGCACTAATACAAGCACACATCCAGGCTCGGGGAGGCCAATGTCCGCCTAGTCCCACTCTGTTCAAGGAAGGATTTGACTCAAAACATTCAGCCTTTTAAGGAGAGACTTGAACTCCTGCCTACAGTGATCAGAGCCAAGTCTTTCTGGCTACAGGTTTCCTGTAGCCCCTGGTGTGAATGGCCTGTAGCCACTCACCTCCCATGACACTGCATGCTTCTTGTGGAGACAGGAGCATTTACTTTCCCATTTTTAAGCCCAACAAGTCACTCAAAGCAGATGACGGGAGCTCAAATGGCTGAGCTGAAAGAGACTGTCAGTCTCTGACCTTGATTGGAGATGAGTCTGGCAACACTTACCTTTTAAGACAGGAAATAACTGTGTCCTTTCCTGGATGCCTTATGCCTGAGGACAGAGCTGCTCAGCCTGGCTGGATCTCACCTTGCCATGTTCACAGTCTGATACCCTACCTCCTCTGGGACATAAGACCCTCAGCAAATACATTCAGTATCAACATAATTCTTCCACAAGTATCTCGTAACTACTCTCAACACTTACAAAATCCTGCAATCTACAGCCACTACCTGAGCTTAAGACAGACTTGTATCATAAAAGCAACGGTGGGCTCCTTAGAAGCATAAATGTTTACTTTGCACTAAAATCAAATTCACCTTTATCAGTAGATGCAACTCATGTTGCTTTGCATGAAGGATGTCACATTGTTTGACAACAGTAATTTAAAAAGTGTAATAATAAATGTAAGTTATATGAAGAAAGTACCTTCTCTGCTGGCTGCTATACAAATTAGTGCCACAGTACAAACTGATTCTAATACAAGGCAGATGCTTCCCCAATACTACAATCTCTTGTTCACCAGCAAGTTCCATTAACTTCTGTTACAGTTGTCAAAGATAGCATAGCCCAGGCTTTCATCACTTGCCTACGGTTAAGTACATGAGAAGTCAATGGGATCACTTGATGGTTTGAAGCTGGGTGTCTTCCATCAAGCAGGGAGCTCTCTGCATAATTTACTAGTGTGTGGGGAACACACTGGTGTCCTACACATGAAAAATGAAATCCAGACCTGACCAAAACTTGGGACGTTTTGCCACTTGGTTGGGTTTCTTTCTTCTATTTTTTATTTTTTTTGTGTGTGTGTCTTTCTGAAAACAAGTTTTCTCTGTGAGCAAAGCCCCTTGTGAGCTCTGAGTGCAAACATATGGACTTCAGGATATTTTACCTGTAATAACATGTTCTACTTATTTTTAAAGGAATTTGAAAACACTCCTGTGAGAATCAAGTTGAATAATCAAGGTCAGTCTATACAGAGAAGAAAATCATTGGGAAGTGAACTACATCTGTAAGCAAGCCTCTGCCATTCCTGCCTGTCCAAACAGATCAATCAGCTCACCCTCGTGCTGTTTTACAGCGCTACTGCTCGACAGCTTCGTTCACATGCTGCTTTTGCCTAAATTGTGCTAATCAGTCGGTCAGATAAAAGTTACTACAAAAGTTGGAGAAGTATAAATACACAGCTTCTTCTCTTACCTTCCGCTGAGAAGGAAACCAATAACAACAGCCAGCAGAATGACTCCCACTGTTACAGACACAACAATTATAGGAATCTGGCTCTGGTCACTGGATGCAGCTACTGCTGAGATGAGAAACAGAAAATAGAGATTAAAGTCAAAATGATAGTCAGCACTCACATAAGTCTTTCTAGTGAGGCTGCCAGTGAGGTTTCAAGCCTTATGAGTTCGTTCTTCTTTTACGCTTTATGTTTTCCCCCTTTGCTGTCTGTTTCTAGTTTGGAAAGGAAACGAGTGGAAAGAAACCAAAACCACATGCAAAACCATGCCAAAAACCCAACAAAATTGCATCTCATCACTGAATTCAGAAACCAAAGTGTTGCAGAATGCAGCCTGTGAGTCTACAAACTCAATTTTGTCTTCCTTGGTTTGCTGCATTAGAAATCACAGAGATAAACTATGAAAAGCCAGGAAGTTCCCATTTGCAGAGAGAACATTTATGAAATGTTATTGTTAAGAGACATAACAGAGATCTCTGAGATAAATGACATTACTTGGGTTTCAGGAAGCTACAAACAATAAAAATCTAACTCCTTGTGGCATCTATAGCACATGGCCAGAATTTGCTAAGACACATACACTGGCCAGTCTTTTTGTTGGCCAAGGGAAGCAGAACTGTCCTAGTCTGTGCCTTCTGCCAAAAGGCAATAGACAAGCCCTGTGATAAAGATGCCAGCAGAAAGGTTAAGGTTTTACTTAACTGAGGTTAAGTAAAAGCAGGTGAGCAAGCTTAAGCAGCCTGTAAAATGGAAATGCCACCACCACTTGTATATTCTTTATCTGCTTTGCACTGCAGAGGAAGGAACCCATCTCTCCCCAAGGGTCTGCATGTGGGGTTCCCCAAATAGCAACCAAAGCCTCCTCCCCTTGGCCTCTCCACTGCCAGCTTCTTCAGCTGCACATATTTAACAACCTCGAGGTACAAATCTGGCTTCCTCCCCACAAAAGCAGCTCCCTGGTGTAGGTACTGCCTCTGTGTGGGGAAAAACCTTGTTAGAGCTCCTATTCTTGTGCTAGCCCCTTATGAAGCTTCATCTACCCCAGGGAGCAGCAGAAATCGATTTTGCACTGAAGAAGCCTTTAACTAAATGATTGAAGTAAAAACAGGTCCTTAGTACAGGATTAACTTTATGGAGGTTATAAAATAACTGAATATAGTCCCATATTAATTGTTAAAAGAAAATAAAGACGAAGAGGTATGGCATTAAACATTGATCTGCAATAGGTTTCAAGTAGCTCTTCATAGGGGGGCTCTCTGGCGCTCAACTGCAAGTGGCGCAGACCTGCTACAACAACGTAAATGATTTCAGAAGGATTGGCCATGATACATTAAATATTAAATGTTAACTGCTCCAAACCCATGCCATCATCCAGATATTTTATTAGCCTCACAAATTTATAGAGGCTCCTTGAGATGATGTTTTATTGCTTTCTTGACATAATAATTAAAAAGAAAAACATTTAAAGGAGAACATTAAGCTGTGACTGGTGGTTTTTTGCACAGCTCGAGGGATGGGGAAATGAGATAAATCCTGCTGTGATCTATGGCAGCTAAAAGCCTGAATTCATAAGCTGAGCTGTGACCTTACTGCCATTCAAGGCAAGTGGGGAACCTGCACTACCTCTCCTTGACTTGGTGACATGTTCCCACTCCTGCCTGGCTGGCCAGATGAATTAGCTCACCAATTAATTCAGCCTAAAGCCAGCATTTGGTAAGCTTAGTTTTACCAGGACTAGACGAGTTTGGTGGCATCTGGAAAGGAGGACAGCAGCAAATGGATACATCCAGCAGCAGCTTTTTCCCAAATATAAAACTTCCACCGAAAACCGCAGCCCTGCCTGCATCACGGTGCTCTGCAGAATTGCACATGCAGGTAGCAATATGTAAAAAACCTCCAAAATCTGGATAAGAGAAAAGTCCAAAACACTTTACTGCTTCCACCTCCCCACTGCATTTCTCAGGCTGTTTTTCTGTACTTCCTCCAAGTGTATTAAAAATAACTTTACAGAAACTCTGCAAACTGGAAACAAAACCTGTTGTTCGGTCCAAATGATTTTGGAGGCTGTTTTTGATTCTCACAACAGTCACTGAAAGGTTTTAATTTGGGCTTGAATCAAAATAATTTGCTTTGGCTCTGACAAGAGGTTCAGATGTGAACTTTTGATGTAGCAGTGAGATTTTGATCTGTACTTGCTTTCAGATTCTCCAGGATGTGCAGGAAAGTAGTGGGAGTCTGGTCACACTGCCAGTACTAATATTGAGCTTATATATATATGGCCTTGGAAAAGAAAAAAAATAATCTTGTTTTAAAGGTTCTACATGTCAAATGGATCTACATTTTGCAAGATACTAAGGCTGGCATTGCATTTCATTTCTACCCAGCATTTAAACAACTGGTTAAGCCCTGCTTCAGCCAGAGATCAAGTCCAACAGAGGAAGACTTCCCAGCTCCCAGACCGGGGACCACGCAGTGAGTGTTCCTCCAACTATGCTGGCAGCTCTGTAATATCAGAGAAACACCCACTCCTTTGCCTTTAAAACATTAAAAAGACTGGGGTGCCGGGGTGGCTAAATGACTCAAGGGATTTAAAGGTGATGTCCTCAAAAAATCCTGATAAATACAGATACTTATATGATGGGTTTTATGAAAGTGTCATTATTTTTGGATCAGGATTGATAGCACTGGATCAAATGTGCATACATTTAATATATTATTTATTAACAGTCTGGAATACTATGACTCAAATTACTCTAAACTAGAAACTTTCCAAATGCAAGCAAAATTTCCTTAGTATAATATAGAATAATTTTCAGCATAACATGATTTTCTTGCTACTTACAGTGTATGATTAATGGCTAATACAATAAGAAATACATCAAATAGACCATTCTTATTGCATTAATGTTTGCATCATGATGCAATTTGCACTGTATTAGTTCAATCACTGGTTCCACAGCTACATCTACACACGTATAATGATTCCTTTAAAATCTATTATGGCTTCAAAGGCAGCATGAATGGAAAAGACAACTTGGCATCTCCTTCTCAAAGATAATGAATTTTATATGAACTGGAATAACACTAATCAAAGTATTGATGAATTTAAATTTCCAAGGAAAACATACAGGAAATAGGCTCTCTCCCACAGGAATGAACAGAGCATTTCCACCACAAAAGTTCTTTCTTCCACAGAAACAGTATAAAAAAAATAATAAATGAGAGTTGTAAAAAATTGAAATACAGAGGACGTATTTTCTAAGGGAAAAATGTATCTTTTATACCTCTGCAAAAATTTGCACAAAATCTGCTCCAGAATCCAGACCTGGATGATCAGACTAATACAAAAAATAAAATAAAATAAAAATTAATTAAAACATTTCAAACCTCATTAATTTGTAACAGGCCAACCAAAACTTCTGCATCTGCAGTGCACATTTTTTTCCATTTCTGATCACAAGTCAAATTCCTCTCCTCGAGGTTGTGGCATTGGCAGCCAACAGAAACCATCTTTCAACTTGACAGGAACTTACACCAAAAGACACTAGTGCTGGTTCAATTCTTCTGCTAGCAGAGATGCACCATTTCAAGGTATTTTCCCCAGACTCAGATATTTAAGAGAGCTCAGCATTCTCTGCGGACAGCTGTTATGATGTCTGGAGAAGAAGGTCTCATTTCCTCTGTCCCTCCTGAGAGGAGAGCCCTTGCCCTCTCCATCAGTCCTCATAAATACAAGATTTTTCTAAGCAGGGAATGGTATGAATTTCTGGAGCCTGAAGGCCTCCTGACTTCATCTCCTGCCTCACCATATGAGTCAAGGCCTCAAGGTCAGATGTGTTATCCTGTCTAGTGCACAGTCATGATGTGCCTCATACTTTCAAAATCTAGGGTTGAGGCCAGAACCAGGAAGAACTCTCTGCAAAGGGATCAATTCCCTTACTTTTTTCCTGGTAACCACTCCAGAAACACGGGCTGATGGCAATTAAAAGGACTTACACACTGGGCTGGTTTCAAACTGAAATCTCCTGAAAAAAAGTATCCAGCCGCCGTCCGGGCTCGGATCTGGAAGACGTATGCGGAGCCTGGTTTCAAGCCATCTGCTGTAATCGTCGTCTCTTTGGATTTGATGATGGTGTAGCTCGTCTCCTGGTCCTTTTCATACCCACCAAAAAAAAAAAAAGACCCCCACAAATTTCAAACACAGAAATAGCAGCTCTCAGAGAAGACAGACTCTTAAAATGTAAAAAGGATGCCTGATATTTGGATTAGACGTATGCGGAGCCTGGTTTCAAGCCATCTGCTGTAATCGTCGTCTCTTTGGATTTGATGATGGTGTAGCTCGTCTCCTGGTCCTTTTCATACCCACCAAAAAAAAAAAAAGACCCCCACAAATTTCAAACACAGAAATAGCAGCTCTCAGAGAAGACAGACTCTTAAAATGTAAAAAGGATGCCTGATATTTGGATTTTTGAGGATCTCTTCCTCTATCACCCCTCCCACTAACCCTAAAGGCCCCTGCTGCAGTTCAAAATGTGTGCTCTGATTTTCTCTTTTCTAATCAATTACTATAGGCAGTACAAAACTGAGCAGGGGGACTTTCCACTCCTAAATGACAACACAGGGACCTAACCAGCATCTGCAGGAAGAGCAGCTTTCCATTGCTGGGGATGTACATAGCTCTGGGCAATGGAAAGGTTCATCCTACAAAGATCAATCTCAAAGCACGGGTTAGAGGAAATTTTAATTTATACCAAAACAACTTCCCAGTAACACAATTAGGCCTAAAAGAGAATAATATATTACACATCATACAACTTTATGATGGCATTTCTAGAATTAAACCACGAATTAAACCTTGAGAAGGGAATAACAAAGCAAAACTCCAGGAAAGTACTTAATTTTGCATTGTTCTTCTGAAGCAAAAAATCTGAAGAATATTTGCTGAAATAAATCTTCATTTACATCGGTTTCTAATGTGAGAGAGTTTCAGTCCTTTGATTAAAATTTCACTCAAATGCTCAGTAATTACTTTTAGAATTATTTACTATAACACATAATCTAGACAAGAGCTCATAAATTAAGATCTACAAACTTTAAAACTTCTTTTTATTCATTATATTATCTCAGATTCAAAATATTATGAGGGAAATAGGAATTCTTAGTAATTCCTTACCAAGATTTCTGCATAGTTCTTAGGATCTGAACAGATTTTTCTTTTTAATTTTATGGGCAACTCTTCATAGACAGTAATATGCCTGGATAAGGCCCTGGGAGTCTCTAAATATAGGAGTACAGGTTTTCTCATTGAAGCCTCTAGCTACAAAAGACTATTTTGGAGAAATGTGTTTGTCTCCCTTTTTTTTCTTATTATTAAGAAGTGATTTCACCAAAAGGAATGTGATCAAACAAAACTCAGGTTTTCCAAAACATTGAATATAGGTCATTCTTATCCCTTGGAAATGAATACTGTGAATTCACCCTATAAAGGGCTGAAAACCAAGAGAATATACACGACAGCAGCAAAAAACAAGAAAGATGAAGGATGACACGCCAAATCTAACACAATGACTAGTTAAAAAGCAGTAAGTGAATATTAGGTCATATTTTTGCTTGTATGTCAGCCTAATTAGGTTTTCAATACACTGTGAGCTACTGCAAATGTTTAAAGACTTGAGCTTTCCTACAGAAAATACTAAGCTTTGCTACCAGTTTGAAAGAAATAAATCAAGGCCATGTAAACTCGGAGCATCTGTAGCTACTTCCCTGTGAAGGACTTGCCTTTGAAGAACTATTTACTGGAGCTATTTGAGACTAGTTCTGGACCACAAATATAGTGTTTTAAGCCTTTCATCACCCAATTTGTTTAAAAACACCTAGGTCATAGACAGATCTAATGAAAGATCTTCCTTAAGATAGAAATTCAACCACCCCAAAAAGTGAATTGTGGCTCAATTTCATTGTTTTCCCCTTGTTTTCATGTAGAAATCTTGGCTGCTTCAGAAGAAAAAAGAAAACCATAGAATCATCACTAAGACAAGAAACGGCTATTCAGTCAACTCTTGCAAAGGCTGCATTGCTCAAACGATGCTAGTAAGACAAAGTGCCTTCCTCATTGTTTTCATTTTAATTGCATTAACTTTGCAGGAAGGTAACAAGTTGTCATTTGAAATGAAGACAGGCAAGTTTCATAGGAAGAGAGAGTTTTCCATTAGACCAAGAACAAAAGGTGGAAAATCCAGGCAAGCTTTTAAACCAGGATGTGCTTCTTAACATCAGAGCAGATACAATCTCTCCACAAAACCTGTCTCCTCTCCTTACACTGTGGATGCAAAGCCAAATGAGAAACTGAAATACCAAACAAAAGCAAGGGACAGCCTGATGTTTCTGGGAGGAGACAGCCTTTCCTTGCTCAACCTCTCCTATTTTTAACAAATGAGGAGGCTCTATATTAATGTGATAAGGCAGGAGGGGAATCTGACAAGCAGATTTAATGTATTTGTTCAACAGAAGTGGCACACTAATGGAAAACAACACCCTCATTTCAAGTCTTCCTAATCATTTACTGCAAAATCAATCTAACATTGATTTATGCATAAAATTGGCCCATTCCCTTCCGTGACTCAAATAATTATAACTAAAAGAAGAGGAAAGTAAAGAGAAGGTACTTGGGATGCTCAGCAATCAGTCCATCCCACCTTTTCAAAATATTTGATTTCGTATTCCAGGATGATGCCGTTGGGTCGATCTGGCTCCTGCCAGGAAAGGGAGATGCTATTTTTAGTTATCTTCCCTTTTTTCACGCTACTGACTGGAGAAGGTGCTGCAAGACAGGAAAAAAACAGAACAGACAAAAACCATGGTTAGTAAGACCGTCTGCCCTTGCTGAAGTCAAACTCCTCAGCACATCCTCAAATGCAAGGCAATCCTTAGCAACTGCAGATTAGTGGGGTCAGTTTTCACCTTGATGGTATTTGCCATTTTTAACAACTGAGCTTGCACAGATTTTCAGCAGCTGAGGATCTGACCAGCATCATCCATCTGAGCAAAGTAACACAAACTATCATCAGCAGCTTACACATCAGTGTTTTGTTTTCAAGCATTTTTGAAACACATTGACCCAACACCTTGCCTTTTCAAATGTGTCCGGGGGATATGTTATCAGAATTATAAATTGATTAAATATTGCTTTCTTTCAGGTGCTTTGAAGACTTGTCTTTTTCGAAGACCTTAGATTATGAGGGCTCCTTAAATATTTATTTTTTGGCTTGTGCAGTAGTTAAAGCCCAGGCATCTTTCGGGCCCCCTTCCCCCAAATGCAAGGAACAGGGTAGCAAGGCCATTACAACCTTTATAATTCAATTGCTCTCCATAAATATTGCTGGGGTGTTACAGCTCACATAGAGATGCTAATTCCTTGCAAATGGCAACTGTAAAGATTTTAATGGCAACCATAGTCTGGAAGTTTGCATCATGCTTGGGCAAGCCTCAGCATGAAAGCAGCTACACCAGCTCTGCTTATTATTTTAAGATGCAGCCCGGAAAGGTTATCTGCCCTTTGCAGCACACGTGCATCAGAAACAGGTTTGATCCTTTGTTTTCAGTCTGTTATCTGCAGAGACTTTTCATTTCGTGGTTGTTACCAGCCCTGCCAGCTCCCTAGCAAAAGCTGTACGGGCAATGCAACCCTAACACCCCAGCTATTGTATACCAGAGATTAGGAAATGACACTGAGTGAAAAGAGGATAGAAGAAATTAATAGTCTCTGATTTACAGGACCAAAAGCAGCTTCTCCAGAGGAAACAAACAGCCCACACCTGGCCAAGGGCCTTGACACACTCTCCAGACATGCAATTTCTTGGCAAGGATTACAGGGAGCCTGAGAAGATGCCTAGCAAAGACCCTTGTGGCCATATGGGGAACTAAGTGCAAAAAGCAGTGGCAAATAAGCACATTTTATCTTCCAAAATGTATTTAGAACTATTAAAAAAAAAGACTTCTCCTATATGCAGGACTAGCTAATTATCATAATACAAAAAACCCACAAAACAACCCAACCCATTAAATAAAATAAAGACAGCAAAAAAATTAATTTTGCCAGGTCTGACAAAAAGAGTAAGGGAAGAGCTCCAGACAACTACCCCTGGACTGAAGGCTAGCAGCAAGCCTTCTCTTTAAAGTAAATTCCCAGTCTCTTTTCAGCCCCAGCTTTTCTCACACCTGCTTACTATTCTCTTCTCCACTTGGCTCTTGGAGGATCCTGAAAGGTGTTGGCTGTTTCCTTATTGCTTTCTGTTGGAGAGCTGGCATCAAGGTGCTTGCTTTTTAGCTGTGCATCCACCACCAGGCTCACAATTGCTCCGCTAAGCAAGAAAAAGCCACCTTCATCTGAATGACTCTGTGTTTATGGAGGCACTGCACAGTGATCACCAACAATTTTCCATCTGCAAAAGCCACCCTATCCTCAGCTGATGTCCTCTGTAATTTTTTTTGGCTATGTGAAGGCGAATAACAACCTAGACTCAAACTGGTAGTCTAGTATAGGACTTCCTAGTAATTAATTCAGGTGCCTAAATACTTGTGCATGCATGTGCACACGAATTTGACTTGTGTGAGATACGTGGTCCATGAATATGTGTATGGTTAGATGTGGTAGCCCAGAGAAGACACAGTGAGTAGTGAACTCCCTTTCTAATGCAAAGGGATCTACATGGTTTTCAGAGGCATTGGAAAACAAGTCTCACCTAACAGGCAATTCTACAACTCTAGTAAAATAGACAATGCTGATCACTTCTTAAAATGAGCCACTTGGATGCTAGATATATGGGATGGTGACACCAAAGCACTCAGAAAAAGGAACCCGTGCCCCTCTGGGGCTGTTCTCCAATGCCCTCAAATCCCTGCAACACCTATCCCAGGCTTGCAGAGCTGGCAGCAGAGGTCTGGCAGGATGGAGCTGAGCATTAAATCTTTTAAACTCCTATCAGAAAAAGCAAACTTGAAAAGTGCAGTGAGGGAAGATCTCAGACCTCCCTGATATCAAATGCCTCTACGGAGGGCAAAAGCCATGCAATTCTCAGTGTCAAAATTGCCTGAACAAATAATGAACTTTTAATCCATTTTATTGTGGTTTCCTAAAAGTGTTTATAGGACCAAGGCTCACAAGAAAATGATGCAAGTGCTCCTGAACTCTCCTGAAAAATCTTTACCTGGGAAGTTCAGGGGAGTTGAGCTCTCCTTAACATGCACCAGCACAGTACAAAAACAAAATGCACCACCAGCCATCCAAAAGTGCCCATCAAACTTCCTATGCCACCTAAAACAGAGCATCCTCTTTAAAAAGCAGTGTGGTAAAGGCCCGGCTACTTAAGAGCTTCAGGAACTTCAATGTCCCACAGTACAAGTCTCTAACACGTTCAATCATGGCTCTGCAGAATGTTCTGCTCTACTGGGAAAAGGAGGCAAGATAAGAAAATGAGTAACCCAACTCTCAAAGTAAATTAGAAAAGGAGTAACTGTATCCTTTTTTGAATCTCCTTCAAAAGAAGCGTTAAAGTGTAACCATGAGATAAAGGCCAATTAAGTAAATTCAATAAATCCCAGCAGTGCTGTCATGATACAGCAACTACTCTGCATCCTCAGTGCACAAAGATTACCATGCTCTGAATGGAAAGAAGGAAGGTATAAGTATTTTAGAGTTTTCTTTGTCAAACAAAATGTAATCCAACCCAGACAAGCGGACAAAGTCTGCAATCATTCCATCTTAAAAGCCTGCAACAGGATACTGTGCTATATGATCTCAGGAAAATAAAAGGATTACTTGAGACTTGCTTTTCAAAGGTCACTGCTTCTGCAAGGGCAGCATATCCTCTTAACAGAAAGAAGCCAAGCCACGGAGCACTTCTATTTCGCGTGCAACATGTAAAAAAATAAATTCACATAAGAGTCAAGACACATAAAGCTGTAATCTCCCATGTTTCTTATGTAGGAAGGCAGAAGTCTTTTTTAAATCCCTGCCTTGACACTACAAAGGGTGGGTGTACATTGTGAATTGTTCATGTTGCTTTACAAGTAATCTCCACGTATGCATTAATTTCTCAGCAAGGCACTCAAAATCAAAGACGGATATTATATCATTTATGTTTATGTTTGCCATCCAAGAACAGAAAGATGCATCAAGGTGTGAAATTGTTAATGTACATTTTTGCTTTCCTGAGACCAAAAATAAACAGGAAACAAATAAAAGCAGAGAAAATGGTTCAACGTTTTTGTTTGTTTGTTTTCTTTCTAACATTTCTTAAGAAGGGAACATACCTAAATAAACATAAATAAATGAAAGTTTAACAGAAGATATATCATTAGTCACATCTGAATAACTACAAAAGATTATTTCATGAGGAATAGACCTTTAAGGACATTCTTCCATTTGATAATGACATCAACACTGAATTAGCCATGTAGGCACCAAACCCAGTGTTTACAACATACTGTGCTGTGTCCCACTAACATCTAACACATAGTGATGCTCAGTGGAATAAAACATTAACTATATTTTAAGAGAAACTAATGTTATCAGGTGAATGACCACTGCATCAAAATAAAACAAATTATCCAGTTTCTACATCTCACGGTCTATCTAAAGATCTATCAAGCCCAATTGCTTTTGCTTTGGTATTTGTCACTCTGGTAGGAACAACAGCTAATGGCTCGCTCTCTCACCCCTACTCCACAGCCAGTGAAGTTTTCCACTTCTGATTAAAAAACAAACAAACCACAAAAAATAAATAAAACAAAAACAACCCCAAACTTAGCTCCCTTCTCACTCAGTGTCAAAAAAACAAGCCACAAGCCCAGGACCTTCAATCCACCTTTGTTTTGCCAGGACAGATACAGATCCTGATCTGCATCAAGACAGAGTAGCCCAGGAAGAAATGATGATGTACACAGGCAAAGGGGCTGGCATCTCTGCTTCCTTTGGCTCTCCACTTATCAGGCCTACTGGTCCTTTTCCAAAGACAAATAAGGCATAAAAGATGATCTTTCTGCTACCATCTCTCTCCTGGTTGCTGTTATAGACAACTGTGACCTAGACATCTAGAGATACAGACATCACTTTTCAGAGACATTTATATTACGGATGTTCGTGTGCTTTTCATGTCTTTGCAATTTATTTTACTGTGATTACATTCCTGTATGTGCAAATGTTTTGGATCTAACACTTCAGACATTGTGGTAACACCTTAGGGTTTCTTCCTCCATGTGATGCCATGTTTCTTTTGTGGTCTGAATTTATGCCAGAAGATTTAAAACTCAAATTAATGCTTGTGATTAAATCAATACTTTCACATGTCATCATGCAACTAAACAGTTATGATATCACTTAAGCACTCATAAAGCCAGGTTTAATAGAAGAAAATGAAACCTGTGTCAGAAGAGTAACCACAAGACAAGTAATTCTTGTTCCACTTCAAAAGCCTGGTATACTGCAATTTTTCACTCAGTTTCTAATTAATGAATTTTTTTTTCAGACCTTTGGTGACTTCAGTTTGGAGCAGAACCTGCATTTATTCACCAAGTCACACTACAGGGCTGTGAAATAACAGGAGGTTTCAAGCAGTAGATTTATTTTAAACAAGATACACACATTAGTTAAAACAGAAACAATGGTTTGAGAAGAAATAATTAAAAAAAAATAATTTTACAGTATTATCTCTTTGCACTTCTCAGTAGAAATGATACAGAGTTTTAGAAAAGTTCAACACTCAATGGCTCCCCTAAGCATACTTCTGCTGTAGATATCATACCTGGGTCAGAACTTAGTGT